GAAATACTTTGTAACTTTTACTTATGATTTTTACTGTTTAGGTACATAAAAAGTGTTACTTTATCCTTTTTGTAAAGCTTTTAGATGTGTTATTGTTACAACACTGTTGAAATATTTTCTTTCTCAGCTTCAAATTACTGTGGGTTTAAACTAAAATGCAGCGCGTGTTGGAAGTGATCGGACACGCGGCGGAAATTGGATTGAAAGTCCATCACCGGCGGCAACCGGCGACCGTATTGCTTCTACAAATTTGTCCTCCAATCTCCCGACCAACTGCTACCAGATTACAACAAGGAAATTACTTTCTTTTTCAATTCTCAATCAATAAAATCAACTTAGACTATAATTTAGCGTAAATCATAATGCTTTTAAAATTAACTTATATCCCTGAATAACATATACTGCGTCTGAGCAACCCTTATAATTATAACTAACATATTTACTGACACTTGTATTAACTTTAGGCTAGCGGAGGCTTGTCCCAAAATATTGAACATCGCAACATAACTCTCTGCAAGAAAAAGAAAACTATTGAAGCGCCACAATTTTATTTCTGCATGCTAGTTAACTTCGTTTTAATAGCGAATACACAAATTTTTGTCATAAAAATAAAAATCTAATTCGTATTAATAATAAATAATGTACTCGAAATCATTTATCTGAAGCCCCATCCATAAAATTCGTCATGAAAATCTTGCCGAAGACTTTGATTAGAAATCGTTTAACTACTCGTATATTCAATAAAGCTGAGCGAATCCTCGATTATTTCCTTTTTTATCGTCGTCTTCTGTTTAATTAAAGACTAATGCACGTATAGATATTGTATAGATATAGATAATGCTACATTCCCATTACAATTAGGGTGGTTATGTATTGTACTGTAAATTATCACATTATATAAAACAATATAATTAGTTGTTATTTCCTGTTTTACAAATACTTAAGTTATAAAATTCATTAATTATAATGTTAAGAACATTTGAACTAAATTATTTTAGTTAGTAAAACTACTCTACAGTTTTCTATCTTCGTCTGTAAACTACCCTGTGAGGTACTCCGGCGATTAAATAGTTTAAATAATAAATTAGGTTGCCTATAAGCTCGCAAGCGAGGGTTGCTCCTTGAAAGCACTTTTGCTGAAATGACCTCCTGTGACCTTCAACATATCACATGTGTGGTGTCTTTTATAACACTTATTCAGTAAATATAAACTTTAGCTTATATTCGTACAACATTATGTTGTGTTTCATTTTTTTATATTTATGGCTTTTTAACTAAAAAAAGGCGCAAATCATTAATTTCAAAATAGCGATTAACTTAAATTTTCAGCTGAAAGAGGCCCATTCTATAATACAAAGAAAACCTATAACGTATATAGAAGTATTTGTTTTTCTTCTCTGCATCAAACCAGTCGTAAGAAAAGTAATTTAAAATTTGAAATATCGGCAGCGAGGTGAGTTCGACGTAACTTTAACAAAGCTTTAACAGCTTTGCCGGTAAACAATTCGAGTGGCGCTCGATCGAAAGCACAGTGTGCAACTGTGTGCGTGCGCCTTGCAACAAGCTTACAGCACACACACCAGTTAGTACTTATAGGGTTGACTCTGGCAGTCACAGCTTTATGACTGCGGTAAGCTTACTTTTACGACTTTATTTCGGCGACACCCTTTGAAAGTAATCAAATTGGTTCATTGTTATTATCTTTAAACTTTTTATTAAGTAGTTACTTGGTGTTATAAACCAAATTTGAATTAAGTTGTTACTGCTGCGGACAAAGTAGTTAAATATCATATTTCAGTAATCAATTATAATTCTTTCTTATTTTTAAATACATATTTCATATTAAATGCTCCAGTTGAAGTATGCAAAATGCTCGAAAACAGTCAAATTATCGTTCATTATCAAACGGTAATTTTCCGCTCAAGTTCACACTTTGTCTTCGACAAAACCCCCTCCCCGCGCTTCCTGCGCCTCCTTGCGTAAAAGATTGGGCAATGAAGATGTTCATTGTGCGCCCGCCGTTACAAAACATACAGAGAGAGCGTTGAATGTGCTTTAAAAAGCTCCCTGCAGATACCACATCAATAGACTATGTGAGTGCTTACATCTGTTATTTTATGTACAAAGTATAATCATCACTCCAAATTAATTAAACTGCTATCTACACTTAATTTTTAGATTTATCCTACGATCTATATAAACTCTCTATGTTTGCTATATGACGTTTTATTTCACAGACCGTTGAATACGATCACGTTCCGCGACACTAACTCCTCATACGATGCCACAGTATTTGAATTACAGATCAAAGTTCAATTCAATGGCCAATTTTTTCCACAAAATTTACAATATTTGCAAAATTATTTTCGTAAAATTATTTCAATATAAACGATCCGCCTCAGCTTCGCCGGGGTGGCAAAGAGTATACGTCTTACTTATATTCGACACTAGCTGTTCCCATGCGGCTTTCCCGCATGACACTGTACAAACTTTATTTCATTGTTTATCAAATTATCAATTGCAAAGATCAAAATGACATGACATGATGGCAAACCATGGCAACCTTGCTTCCTTGTTGTTGGCAGCAACTAATGGTCTCTTTCCCACATTAGGGTTTTTATCCAAAATATTTACCCCCTAAGTTTGATGGCGTGAAAATATATAGCCTAAAGCGTGACGTAAGTGTAGGGCTTTTTATTAGAAAAATAATTATCAAAAATATGCTGTAATTGCTGACATCTTAGGCAACAAAGTAGTGTGTTTTACGCTTTATTA